TATAAAATCAAACAATTGCACGTTCTAGCAGTTTGATCAGATCTCATAAGGCCATCTCCAGTCATTGGGCTAAATGTAGTCCAGGGCAAAATATTAATTTTTTAAAGAATAATGCAGGGTTAAATTTTTCCATCTCCAGTCATGCATGACTATATTTTAGGGTCATTCATATTTTATTATTTTGAAAAAGAAAGTATGGAGTGCTTTAATGATTGGTTGTTGAAAAACACATAGATGAGGCCAACTATAAATTTGGCCTATGCCAAAACTAAGCTACATTTCCAAAATTTTATTTAGTTCATGACTAGAGATGGATTTTGCATTAATTTAGGGCTATATTTGGAATATAGCCCATGGTTTGAGATGGTCTAACCTTTCTTTTCCTTTGCTTGTTTCTATCCGGCGGGGGGACCCATCAGTTAGTGGGCCATGCCAGGCTGGTCCCATCATATCATGCCACGAAGGGCAAAGGTCACCATGTGCACTTTTGCAAGCATGCTTGATGGACGGTGAATGAACAGTGCATGATGATGATGATGACGACGATGGGTGTACTCAACTCAAAAGCCAAAGCTGTCAAAATTAGCCGGCATGCCGCGAAATGTCTGCTTTCACTTTCAGTGCAACACGCGTAGTACTTGGGACTAACTTGAACGACTCACTAGGAGGAGGACAGTGGTGCATAAATGGCAATGGGTGGAATCGGGGTGGATATGTATTGATTCAATTGTTATAAATGTCAAAACTTCATCATTATAAATGTAGCATCACTGTCACACAACTTAATAATATATTTATATATATAATTTAAACAGAGAGGGTTCTGAATCTGGTTGGGGATTACAATACCAGTTGGTGAGGACTGTGAATCCACTTCTTGTATTAAAGTTCGAGTTCATCTCCGCGTACGTTAGATTAATTTAAACTATTGATTGTATAAATAAAATAACAAAAAATAACAATTGATCAGTTTTACAAACAGAACACATTAATTATATACTTACTATATATATATATGTGTATGAGAAACATAATTACCTACCTACGATTTAGCCTGTTGGATGAAAGCATGCATTTCTTATGTATGAAACTTGAATATTAAGTTTTATGGCCAAAAAAGAAACTTGAATATTAAGTAAACCTAACTCATTGATTCATTTTGATTTAAAATATTTGATTGCTTCCAAGTTGGTTGATCCTAGGATATAGAAAGCAAAAGAAGACACATCAATCGAATACAAACCCCCCAATCTTTATCATAAAAAACAATAAAATGTCGAAATCAAAATAGACCATAAATTATGGAGTTACAAAATCAAAACCAGTGCCACATCACTCCGTTAATCCGCAATGGCCCACGTCATGTCATTTTCAAATATCCAGTGGCACACTTCAATCTTTCCCGGACTGGACCCCAGTGCCATGAACGCACCATGTCCCGGGCTCCATGATGACGTGTCAATATGACAAATGGCCACACCTTGATTGATCTTGCTCTTGCTCTCCACGTCCACAATATCAGCCTCATAAACCCTAACCTTGGGCACAGAGTGACAATAATATAGTAGGTACGGGTACAAAGTCTGGTGACATGAGACCGATTTGGTCACATTTCCACCGTTGATTCCGCTGACCATTCCAATCATCACCTTCTGCTTTGACCCACTCACATTCTCTGTGGTTCGGACCACCACATTGTGGCCCAAGACGGAGGTGGCGAAGTCGATCATGTCCTCGATCGACCCCACGCACAACTTGGTCTCACCCGGGCTCGGAGCCCTCTCGCACTCGCCCAGTGCGTTGGTCAACACGTGCTCCATGGCAGAGTTATCCCTCGCGTGAAATATCTCCCTAAGCTCCGACAACCCGGGAGTGGAAAACGGTAATTTCGACAAAATACCCCGGGGCAAAAACGACCTTTCTGGCATTTTGTCCCGAATGTCGGGCATCACTACTACATTTCCCTGCTTTAACATAGATTCCCTGAAAAACTTGCCCGGCTCAACCCACTTATTTACCAAACTGCCACTGGACTCAGTTTTAGTTGCCTCTGTTCCCTCCTTGCTCAGACTGCTATATTCAGCAAAAGTAACGCCATTTTTGGCATACTCTTTGAAATTCCGACCCAAACCGTACGACTTGAACCCCACACTGGTCCGACCCTTCGACCCGGTCCCGTACTCTTTAAACGAATCGTTTCCCGGGTTGAACGATTTCCCGTAATTCGAGAAACTCACCTTCCCGGAATTCGAATTTCTTGCGTAAGACTGAAACGAATCGTCCCCAACATTCGCTCCGCTCCGATAATTCGAGAACCCGTCGATCCCAGAAGTCCCGCCACCGCCATAGCTCTTGAAATTGTTATGTGGGTTGTTCGCAGATTGGCCGTACCCTTTAAACGAATCGTTTTGGCCGGTCCCGGACTCTCCGTAACCCGTAAAACCCGACCCGATTATGTTCGCGTCTTCGGCGTAGCTGCTGAACTCGGTCGGGTTGGCGTTGCCGGTTTTTCCGTAGCTGACGAACGTCTCGGAGCCCGAGTTGGTGTCGTGGCTGTAGCCTATGAAGGAGAGCCTGTGGTTGTTCGCATCCGAGTCGTAGGCTGCGAATCGGAGGTTGGGGACGTTGACTTGGTCGTCGTAGCTTGTGAACTCGCCAGAGCCGCCGGCAGAGTCGGCGCCGTAGCTGGTGAAGCTGGCGTTGGCGACGTTGGCTTCGTGGGCGTAGAATGTGAACTTCTCCGAGTGCGAGTTGGCGTCCTTGCTGTACTTCTTGAACGAGTCGTAAGGCGAGTTCAACCCGTCCGAGTAGTTCTTGAACGAGTCGCCGCCGGCGGGTTGGGGCGAGCCGTAGTTGGCGAAGTTCTTGTTGCTGTAGGCGGCGAAGTTGGCGTCTTTGAAGTGCCGAGCGACGAGGTCTTGCTGGTGGGTTTGTGCGGACTGCGAGTCGAAGGAGCAGTAGAGGTTGGCTAAGGAGCAGAAGGAAGCGAAGTGGGCGGAGAGTGAGTTATGGGCGGCGAGTTGGGTGAGAATCGCTGAGTTGACTCGGTCGAGTGGGGATGCTTTGGAGAAGAGGAAATTGGGTTTGGGGAGATTGTTGGAAATGTGGTTGTCCCAATAGCGATTCAGTGAGGATTTGGGTGTAAATGGGTTGGTTCTAGTGTGAGCACTTGTGACCTACATGCACATGTATATAAAACATAAACAAAAAAACAAAAAAATAGATGCAGGAAAATGACATGAATAACTGGTAAGTGAAAATCAGAAGAAATATATGGAATTTGTGCTTAGTTTCTTACCTTGAAAGGTGAGAGTGAGGAGAGCAAGAACAAGAGGAAAATGTTCATGTTTGTAGAGTTGGAAACAGAGAGAGAGAGAGAGAGAGAGAGAGAGAGAGAAGCAAACTAGGGTTGTTGAGAATAGCTTTTGCTTTTGGGTTCTAAACTTCTGATTCCTTTCTTTGGCCAAACTTTTGCTTTTACAAAAAGCATGTGTATGCAAAAACTGGTTATGCAGCAGCATGCCATGTAGTCCCTGCAGAAAAGAATGGTAGATGTGACATTACAAAGTATGTGTTGAATGAAGTGGAAGGTTTGTTCTTTTCCTAATTGGATTGGATTTAGAAGTGTGGAAATTAATTAACATGGAAAATGGGGTGCCCTAGTTCGTTGTTGATGTAGGGTTTTAGGAAATCAAGAAGAGCATATATTAATCAGGTGTGGGCTGGGCAGCAGCAAGTGGCTGCTTTTCAGTGATACCATGTCCTTGTGTCTCAGATGAGTTGTGGAAAACAGGAGTTAGATAGATTATATGGGCATATTCTAAGGGACCCGACCCGAATATCAAAAAGGCTAAGCTAAACAAATAAATATATATATATATATATATATACACACACATACAGCTTCCTTCGAGTCTACTGTCTACATGCCATGGGTTTGGCAAATCCTAGAGGAGCTTCTAGTTTATAATAGTACCAAGGCAAAGATGCTTCATTTTTGGCTTAAAGTAGCCCATTAATTTTGTGCAGCGTGCATTTCAGTGACTAGTCCCGGCTACCTAGGAACCCACTCTGCTGGCATTATATATAGATCACTGACCAACAAATATATATAGCTTATCTACTAGCTACAAACTCCTAAGATTTATTTTTTTACCAAAAAAAAAACTCCTAATATATATATATACACACACTAATAAGCTAAATCTATGTTTTTGTAACCAAGGAAGGAACCCAAATTTTTTTCACAGTTTGATAGAAAGATGATGATTGGTTGCTGCAGTGGGCTGAATTAGAGAATGTTTGGGAGCTGGGTTTGGTTCTTAGGGAGGAGGGAGCTATGTTGGAGGTATTTGGGCTTAAGAGGGGAAAAAAATTTGAATACATGTGGGGAAACAAATCCTCTGCAACTGGCAATGATTTATTTCCTCCATTTCATAGTGTGAATTTGTAGAGTAAAAGAACCAAAAAAGAGTTGAATTAGTATAATCAGGGCAGTTGGTTAGATTTTTGAAGATCCAAGGTTTTGACACAAGAAGAACAAATTAAGAGAGCTAGAGGAAGTATGTGTCCGTCAAGAAGATTAATGGTAGCATAGTGGAGGAGAGTCTTGATTTGCAGACAAGAGGTCAGATGTGTGTGAGAAAAACTCATATCTTGTAGTTTAGACTATCACTTGTACTTAAAAAAAAAAAAGAGCTAAAGAAACTTGTTCATTAATTTAATTTTTTGGGTTTAATTTTTTCTTGGAACAACAAATATATGTAGTATTGTGCGAAAAGAAAATGTCAAATTCTTTATCTTTTGATTTGTAGAACTATAATGATCTGTTTGATTTTCTCTTAGAAAATGTTTTGGTGTGTAGGCTCATTGCTAGCAAACGGCAACTTGCATCCATCTTTCTTTACATGCTTCATGATGTAAACGACATGTCGTTTCATCTCCATTTGGTTTGTGTGTATTGGCTTGGATTTGGTTGGATGAAGTGGAAGAAATACAGAGCAAACTCAGAAAGAAGTGGCTATTTAGTTAGTTAGGACTTCACCCCAAGTACCCGCCAAAAATGATAGTAACATCTTCTTCCATTAAAACCCCTCCTCCTCCTCATCCTCCAAATCCATGGGCAGCATCTCAAAACCCTAACAATTCATTCCTTCCCATCAACCGTCGCAGCCTTCTGGCTGCGCTCACCATCTCCACCACCACAACCCCTTTTGCACACACTTTTCTCAACCCCATGTCAGCACAAGAAGTAGCCTTTGCTCGTGGCCTCTTCCAGATGCCCCCAGTTAGGCTCACTAACCGGTAATTCAGCACATATTCTGTTTTTGGTTGAATCTTGAATTGCTCTTTGATTTCTGAGAAAATTGAGGAAGTTAATGGAAAACACACTAATGGGTTTTTGGGGTTGTGGTTTATGCTGCTATTTGTTGCCAGAAAGCTGAAAATTTTGTCCCCATTTGAACCGTACTGGTGATATATGAGTTTCTGTTATATTGGGTTCCAATGATGTTAATATGTAGCCATGGTTATAACTTATGTATGGTATTATTGCATTGGTTGTTGAATTGTTCTGAAACTGTTGCTTGTTGGTGTATGGGAAGGTATTTTCTGGTGAGGGCTGGGGAGTCTGAATATGAGAGCATTGGAGTAATTAATACCAACCCAGTTGCGAAAACTTCTGTTGATAACGGTTTGTCAGAGAAGGGGAAGAAGCAGGCTGTGAGGTCAGCTTTCGATTTGAAGGAAATGGGAGCTTGTGATAAGAACTGTTGGATATGGCCTTCTATTACTCAGAGAGCTTACCAGGCTGCAGAGATCATTGCATCGGTTAATGGGGTCAGTCGAAGGTGTGCAAATTAGTATGATTTCATGAAGTTCAAAGATTTAACTTTGATGTCTTTTGAATATTAGAAAGGAAAAGTCTAGTGAGATTTCAAACTTGTCATAGGGCTGAAACTATGAACTCTACTGTGACACAGTCCATCTAGAGTTGTGTGTGTTCTAAAGCTATGAAATAATCTTGTATGATTCTTGAATCATGTTTCCTTGTCATAGTGAGCTATCAAGGGGAGGCCATTTTCCTAAATCAAACTCATTATTTCTTAAACATTTTAACCTGAGTTGGGATTTGGGACCATAATTTTGGAGGCCAACTGGGAATGGTATTGTCATTCTAAACCTGCTGATTAAGTATACCTTTATAAATCTGTCCAAAGTTGTTTGCTTTCAGCAATCATTGTCTATTCTTTGTTGCAGTTATATTGTCCCAGAGTACAGCTTTCTCGATGCCAGAGGATTGGGAGCTTATGAAGGAAAGAACCTGGAAGCTGTTTCAGAAGTAACATTTCCAATTACAGCCAATTTGCTTCTCTTTAAGTCATTGACAAGCAAGTATGATCATACCTTTGTTTATACTCCTCAGGTATATGCATCAGATACTCTTTCTCCAACAATCAAGCCTCCTCCTATTGACGACGGAACCCCAAACGAGAGTGTTTCAGATGTCTTTGTTCGGGTAATACAACTCATGTCCATACTTGAGACTCAGTACTCTGAAGACACAGTGATTATTGTCTCACCAGATTCAGACAATTTGACAATCCTACAAGCTGGTATAATTGGACTTGACTTGCGCAGGTGATTCTTCTTAAACGTGATTATCGCTTTGAACAAGAATCTTGATAGTCATCGAGCATTCTAAGTGCTAAGTTATCATGATAATGCTGTACTAATAACATCTCTTTTTTATTTCAGGCACAGGGAGCTTTCTTTTGCACCTGGAGAAGTCAGATTTGTTGATACCAATAGCGTACCTACTTACAAGCAACCTGCTTCAGCTGTATATAAATGTCTAAAACCACCAAATTGTAACTGATATTACTTCCTTGTTAAATTTTATAAAGACTAGTGGAATTGATAGATGTGCAAATTATCTCCCCTTCTCTTGGTTGTTTATAAACACCATCAAATTGTCATCTGTGTGCCCATTTAATCTGAATGTTAATGCTCCTTACAATCTTCAGTTTCTGTGACTTCTTTTCTTCTCACATGCTATACTAGTTTAAGCTAAACTGCCTGTAGACAATTGCTCCAGCCTGGCAGCTTGTATTCTCAGTCACTCTTTGATTAACCAAAGGTGGTTTCTACTACCTTGCACTATATTATAAAGACATTACAAATTTTCATTTTGGCATGTAAATTCAAATATATGTAGGACTTTAGAGGTTCATTCTACTATATTTTAATTGTTGGGGAGTGGATTCGAACTTAGAATTTCTTCAAAGAGAAAAAGACTTCAAGCAAGAGTCAGAATCATTTGAATTTAAAATAAGAATGATTATAGTAACAAGATGTATGCTATGGTCAATTGTTATACCTTAGATTTCGCCCTTTTGCTTGCGGGCGAGGCTTGTATGGCATGATTAATGCTAACACGTATCTAAAGTAAAAGTACTGAACTTAACAACCTTGGTGGGTACAGGTACAGCCCAACTAACTAACTCAAAATAATTAAGCTAACAGCACTAATTAAAAAGAAAAGATAATTAAGGGAACTAAATCAAACAGTTACAAAAAATAAATAAAAATAGAAAGAAGTAAACTCATGAGTCGCCGTGGAGTAACTGGAGGAGAAGTACAGTCAGCGATTTTGGTACCCAAAAGATCAACGAGTCCTTCTCAGAGTAAGACTCAAGACTCAAAGTTGCTCCACTCCCTCACCGACTCTCTCTCTCTCTCTCTCTCTCTCTCTCTCTCTCTCTCTTTCTCGCTCGCTCGCTTTTTTCTCTCCGAACTCTCTTTTTGCGTGTGAGAGATCGTAGCTAGCTAGCTTTGTTCTCTCCGAAATCTCTTTTTGCGTATGAAAGATCGGAGCTTTTGGGGTTCAATTTCAAGCATTTCTCTCTTCAAATGAGCATCAGAGGATATTGGGATTCATTGTAGTCTGTATTTTGTCTTCTGTATAGTTCGCCCTCCATGGCCATCCGAGGCGTCGATTTCAAGTGGTAAAGTATCTTTCTTTGAACCCATTCAATTGCAGTGTGGTAGGGTTTTGATGTCGAATTCGGGTGATTTTGCATTGCAGGTACGATGGGTTCTTCTTGTCTATGCTCGCGACAAGTGTGTATCCTTTAATGTCTTATAAATTAGGGTTTTCAATTACATGCTGGACTCTCAATTTTCCCAATGATTCTTTAACCGGTTCACTAACAGAGTCATTGTTGCAATTAATTGGAAACGGTACCATACCTGTACATACCCGTTGCACATATGGATCGTGGTGAGTTTTTCTCTGAATTCTAAGCAAGTTTGATATGGGATTCTCTTGAAATATATTTTTCTTGAATCTCAGTTGTTTTTCTGATAAAGTTTTATTCTTACTGGTTCAGGTTGATTACACTACTGTGTTTGTTTTTCGGATGTTGATGTTTGTGGATAATGGGCTTGCCTCTGGAATGGGTTTGTAAGGCCATTTTTCCCAGTTAATGTGTCCCTGCTACTTAATTTGTTCAATTTGTGTAGCTGAATAGTACTAAAACACTTTTCTTTGCCCCTTCAAATTTTTCTTTAGGGATTTTGGGTGGCAGCAGAGATATGCTCGTTTCTGCGGAAGAGTAGTGGTCCTTTCAATTCTTTCTCTGCTACTCTATCCATTTCTTTGGACTTGGACAGTAATTGGTACGCTGTGGTTTAGAAAATCAAAGGACTGTGTAAGTTATATCCCATATTTCTTGGCTGAATGATCGTGTGTAAACAAGTTTATTGATGGTACTAATACATTATTATGCTTGCAGTTGCCTGAAGATGGTCAGAAATGGGGTTTTCTAATTTGGTTACTTTTTAGTTACTGTGCACTACTTTGTGTTGCTTGCATGTCGATTGGGAAGGTTAGTGGTGCTTTGTGTACTTGTCCATTTTTTAGATACAACCAGGACTGTTGTTCCAAGTGAGCTCATTTTGAAACACTTGTACATGTGTTTTTATAATGATATTTTCTGTGATGTTCTTATCCTTATTTTTGGAACCCCCCTTTTTCAGTGGTTGACACGAAGAGAGGCACACTTATTGCGTGCTCAACAAGGGATTCCTGTTTCAGAATATGGGGTAAACCCTGAAACACTTATTTCAGTTTTGCTTGAGAATTGTGATAGTGTTGTTTTTACTATGTAAGATGCCCATGTGATGTTGATTGCTTGCCACATTAAGTGTTCAAAGCTATGATATTCTGTGTTGGTCCAATTGTTCCTGCATTAATGGTAATGATTTCTCTCATTATTAAAGGTTTTGGTTGATATGATTCGGGTGCCAGACTGGGCATTTGAAGCTGCTGGTCAAGAAACAAGAGGGATGGGCCAAGATGCTGCTGCATACCAACCTGGACTTTACTTGACTCCAGCACAGGTACCTGCCATCCCAAAATTCTTCTCTGCTGAGGAAATTGCTTACCTTTCCTTAGATTTACATGCTTTTTCAGTTTTGAGTCTGATGGTTGTGCTCTACTCCTTCTACAACATATTTTGTAGATAAAGAATTTTTGTGTGTACTTGGTTTGAATTCATGATATTAGTTTACTCAAGCTATTTATGCAGTGGCAGTTTTGATAAATTCTTCGCTCAATCTAGCATTTGCGAAATCAATGTATAGAAAATAGAGATTTGTGGTTCTAAGGGGTGTTGCTCACATGCATGCCTGTCTGTATGTGCACTCATTACTCTGGCTCAAGTACACTCCGACTTTAGAGGGCTGGCATAAGATTCAAGAACATATTAATTGTTGTGCTTCATTGGTAATAAAAGGCTGTACTGAAAAAAAATAACCTCTTCAATTACAGTTCTTTTTTCATTGGGAAGTCTTTGTTGTCTATACAAGTTCGCAATTTTTTTTCTTTAATTCTGAATTCTGATGGTTGATGTTCGTGTCTGTCTGGGTGTTGCAGACAGAAGCAGTGGAAGCACTCATTCAGGAGCTTCCAAAATTCAGACTGAAGGCTGTTCCAACTGATTGCAGTGAATGTCCAATCTGCTTAGAAGAGTTCCATGTAGGCAATGAGGTAATTTTTTTTATGAATATCAATGCTACTTTTAAACACACAGTAATCTAAATTATGTCATGCTTTTTGGGCATATAGTATATTATTCAGTATTAAAATGTTAATATATGATTTGGATCAATGGTCCCCTTCTGTGGCCATCTGTAAAATGTTAAGACAGTTATGAAAAAAAGAAACAAGAAGGGAACCAAGTTCACAGCTCTATCATTAAGCAAATACATATGGCCATACATGTTTTACCTCCTGATAGTGAATCAGTTATTGCAAAGTTCAATAGAAGATTCTTACTGGAAGTGGTGCAGGTTCGTGGCCTGCCTTGCGCTCACAATTTCCATGTAGAATGCATCGATGAGTGGCTTCGACTGAATGTGAAATGCCCTCGGTGCCGTTGCTCAGTCTTCCCAAATCTCGACCTTAGTGCTATATCCAATCTCCGTCCTGAATCTGAGCGGTCATCTGTCAGCGTGTTGACAGCCAACCGGTATGTGAGAACCCAACCTTACAGTCAGAGCTATTTGTTGAGGTTACAGGGTCTGCTCTGCCCAGTCCGTACGGAAAATGCAGGTGTAGGTCCATCAGGCAATGAGGCAGACACTGCTCTGGAAACTGCTGAGTATGGAGGTGTTGCTCAGTCTACTCGGGATCCATCAAGCCCAGGGCCGGTCTCTTCCGCCGGACATATTGTTGTTGTTGACTCCACCGCACAACAACAATAGACTGTTTCCTGAATTGCATTTCCCAAATGTTAACTGAATTTCCTAACCCACATGCTGAGGAAGGCTTAATGGTATTTAATCTGTGTACCTGCCCATCGCTTGGCATGCTTTTGTAATGGCTGTTGCTTGCTAAAGTCTAGATCTTTTGCCATCTTTTGTCACTGTGGTGATGGATATGAGAACCGAATCTGATTGCTTAACCAATGCAGATTAGATATAGTGTTTCATGAATGTGAAGGCCACTTTCTGGCGAAATACTCAACACGGTTTATCAAAGCTGTTCTCCTTTTCCTTTTTCCTTCTATCTTTTGTTTGGTCTCTCTCTCTAGCTTGTGCTTAGACAATGATCTGAGTGGGGCCTTGCGCCGATTTTAAGGTCCGGAAGCCAAGAGGAAAGTATACGTGGTATATTCTTAGCCGTTTTATCAAACTTGTGTTAGCCAAATTTTGTAATAATTTGTCGTCCACTCATCCAATTTTTCGAAACACTTATGTGTCATGGCTATTCGCGTCTTGTCTGCACCTGTAACACATGGCAACCAATGGAGAGAAGTTGGGGTCAATGGCTGATCCTTTGAGCTGCCCATGACCGACCCTGTTGGTTTAAGGGTGCAAATTCTTATCAAATAAAAGCTTATTGACAATTAATTAAATTAAATACAAGCATCGCCGTCACCCAAGTTAGTGTTGAACTTGATTTGAAGCGAAATATCAAACCCGAATTTCGAAGTGATTTAAAGTATTTATCTTTGTAGAGGTTTAGAGTATTTATCCTTGCATCCGAGATTCTACCCCCTCAAGTACCGCTTGTATCAAAATAAAAAATGAAAAGAAGGAAATTTTATGGGTACAAAGCTAAAATACAGTTGAGTTATTATCAAGTTTGACTAAAATTTAACCCAATTAGTAATCTGGTATATTGGAAAGTTTAATTTAACCCACAAATCAAGTGGGCCTGGGTTGTAGTAATTCAGTCGTTGTAAGTTTTTTACCCGGCGATTCTATCCATATATCTCATCATCTTCCTTCGTCTACCAACTGCTCCAATATAATAAGACAGACACAAACTCACAGATATTGAATTGAAAATCCCACAATAATACAACACAGATTGTGGAGCGAGAGAGAACAGAGAGATGGCGGTCGCCAATGGATGGGGCGTGGGACAAGCAATCCCAGTGCCCCAATTCGGCCCCAATTGCTGTTCCGGCTTCTTAGCCAACAAGTCCAAATTCAACAGTACCAATAAAAA